CTTTAAAGTTGATGCGGAAATGGATGGGCAGCCAATGCAATGCGGCCAGAGTGGGGAAAATGTGTTGGTATTTTTTCACCCCACTAAGAAATCTGGCCGCCGCATTCTGCACCACCTGTAGTCTCCGCAGCAACCTCAAAGGCAGCCCCACGTAAAGCGCATTACAGTGGTCTAATCTTGAGATTACGAGCGCATGCACCAAGGTAGTGAGCGCCCCAACATCGAGATAGGGTCGCAGCTGGGCTATCCGCCTAAGATGGTAAAAGGCGGTTCGGACCACGGACGCCACCTGGGATTCCATAGTGAGCACCGGAACCAGATGGATCCCCAGGCTGCGAACCCCATCCTTAGCAGGGAGGGTCACCCCCCCCAAAGGAGAGCGAGTTTCCCAAGGCCCCGACTGTGGGAGCGCCCACCCTTAGTACTTCCGTCTTGTCCGGGTTCAGCCTCAGCCCGTTCTCCTGCATCCATTGCAGTACGGTCCCCAGGCAGCGCTGAAGGGACAGAACGGCATCTCCTGCAGTAGGTGGAAAGGAGATGTAGAGCTGGGTGTCATCAGCGTACTGATGACATCGGGCTCCACACCCCCTGACATCGGGCTCCACACCCAGCGGCCTCATATAGATGTTAAATAGATGTCAAAATCATAATATACACAGCCCCACTTACACCTGCTAATCATCTTTCTCTTCAAAGAGATCTGTATCTTCAGGGAAAGTCTATTTGCTTCCTTCCAGCTTGAGAGTAAAGACCAGGAAGACTGCAAAGCAGACTTCTGCAGATCAGAAATGATACACAAATACTAGCTATATTTATATCTGGTTACAGTGAAGTGTGGGTATTCACTGAAGTGCTCTTTTGTACCAATTCAAAGTGCTGACACCAAGAATCAATTTTATCAAGGTATCATTAATGTGAAAGTACAGCCTCGACAGAATATATCATAGAGGGAGTCAAAGTAAGTCCTGGTGAGTACAGGAGTTTATTCCCATACAAGTGCTTACAGATTTAAGCAGAAACAATAACAACAACAATAATACAGAACACAGACAGAGTTCTAACTCCTGTCCTCTGAAGACGCCGACCACAGAGACTGGCGAAACATTAGGAAGAAAAACCTCCAGAACACGGCAAAACAGCCCAAAAAACCCTACAACAACCAACAACGATAATATTGATGCAGTCATGACCCAACAGAAATCTACTCCAGCATTGGAAGGATTCATATCTGAGACTCTTCTTTTGGTCCAAGTCATCAGACAGAGTCCATGGCCTTGAGTCACACCAAATATTATGTCAGCTGTTCCCGTCAGGAAGGCCTTTAATCTGATATTTATCACTGGACTAAAATTAACTTTTTTTCCCTATTACACCCACCCGCACACAAATCCTATTATGGATTAAAAGGATTTATATGGACAGAGTGCTGTGAAAATGCATCCCCCTCGAGGCTGATTCCTGGCCAAAGACCAGGCTCAAAAGAGCAAATATCTTCAGTACACCTCCCTCCCTCCTTCTAGGACCAGATGGCTGCAAGTCCCCACAATTTAAAACACTAAAAGCAAATTCCCCAGGGTTTTAGCAAGGCTGGGACAAACATTCCAACTCTAATTGGGGCCAGTGACACGCTTCTCTCTTGAGACAGTAAAGTCAGAAGGAAGAGCACATGTTTCATAGAAAATTGATATGGAGCCTGCTTACACAACCAGTTATTCTGGGATAATAGCCGCTGCCCCACCACCACTACGCTTGCTTGAGTATCTTATTTGTTTACACACTGAAAGCCTGAATCCAAGGTTGAAAAGACTGAAAAGCAAAAACCAACCCGAAACAAAGGATGGTAAGCTCTTGACTACTCTCTCGCTCTCTTAAATGGGGAAATAACAGGACTGCTCTCTCTGTTCAGTATTTTAAGTTGATGCTATTGAGTGACCAGATTCTGGGTGAAGGCTTAACTCGATGTTGAAGGACAAGTGTAGCTGCTATTATAGTCTTTTATTTCATCTGTCTCTTTCTCTGGTAACAGGGGTAAAATGAAAAAGTAAACAAACAAACCCAAACCTGCATAAAAATTGCCCTCACTCACACTGAATAGCTGCCAATTGCTGGGATAGGAGACTCATTATGAGGCAATATCACCTCATTCATGTTGCAGTATTAGCAGAGGATGATGAAGGAAAAGATACAAAAATGATTGTTATGAATTTTGTTTCTTATTCTTCAGGTTCTGAGGGGTACTGAGCAAATACTGTTAACTGTTTATCAGGGCTAGTTAAAGAACTAAGAGCAAAGGGAAACACCATTTCTGACACAGTGTGGTAAAATTCTCCTCAGCATTTTGTAGGGAATGGCTGAAATAATTTATTTATTTATTTGATTTGATTTGATTTGTATCCCGCCCATCTGGTCCACCTGACCATGTTTTTTTTTATTCTATTATGTCTCAGCTTAACAAATAAAAAATCCCCAGATCCTGTGTGTAAAAATAGGCCCTTGATTTTCACAGTCACTTCCCACACTGCAGTTAGGATGCTAAAGTCATCCTTACTAGAGTTTTACTAAAATGCCAAATGAAGGAAGCGGAAACTCTAGGGCACATGTTCAAATCAAACAGATAGTCCCTGTTTCTCATAGTTCATAGGTCTTCATGAGGTAGTTGTATAAGCTCATAATTCCAGTAACTGTTGGTATACACAATGTTTCAACTCGTGAAGTGAGAAGTTGCCACAGGAGTAAATGCTAACTTGGAAAGTTACTTTTAAAAAGGATGAATATAATGACATGCAGAAGCCATCCATAACCAAGCCATGGTAGGAGAATACTCTAGGTACCAGACCATCGTTGTGCAGTCAGTTATGGATGTTTTCAACATGTTATTGCACTCATTTTTCTTAAGAAGCAACTTTTCAAGGTGCTGCTATAGTACATACATTAAAATTAGGGGAATATCCACATGGATCAGCTTGCCACAGATCACTGAAAAACAGGAAAACTAAGCTTTCTCATTTTAATTTATTTTTCTGTTTTTTTTATGTCTAAGCTGCTCTTTTGGGATATCAATGTGACAAATTAATGTGGAAATGGTAGATGTTTTTTGGACCATAGCTCACCAGTGGGTTCCAGGTCATTGTACCGTAATAACAAAACAATGCAACAGAGACAATGCAGCACAGTTCTCCACCCTTTGTTTAAAACTACAAGGCAGCACATTGATAAAACTTCAAAGCAGATCTGTGGGGATGAAGCTGGTTGAAACCACTCAGGCAAACAGAAAAGTTTTGACCTGATGCAGAGGAACTAAGTGCCCCAAAGAAGTAAGCGTGCTGGCTCTTTTTATGATTATGTATTTATTATGTAAGCATCCCATCTTTCCTGCAGCATGTTCAGAAACATTTCTAGCTTAACTATCACTTTGTGAAATGGGATACCTAAGCCTTAAGGCCAGCTAGGCAGCTTCACAGGTGAGAAGGGTCTTGGAAGCTGATGTTTTCCCCACACCCACACCAACCACTGATTTTTCATTTAATGCTATGAAGAAAGCCAGTCTACGTAGGCAGCATGGCTTGGTGCTAGTACTCACTCGACTGATTCTCCACTTGTGGCATGGGCCGTCACCTCAGAGACATGCAGCATATCAATCTGCAGCTGCAGCACTCAAGTGTGTCCTGAGGTGCCCTAATAGCACAGCTTTACAAAATTAATTTTTGGACCACAACTCCCAGAATCACATGACCACAGAGGTGTGGTCATGTCTGCCGGGAATTCTAGTAGTAGTAGTCAAAGAAAATAATTTTTTTTTTAAATGTCTAACTCAAATTCCCTCATTCATAAGAATACTCCTCTTAGAAGTTCTTGAAGCTGGGATAATGGTGTGAAAGTGCAAAAATGGGAGAAGTTACTTTTTTAGACTACAGACAGCATGGCCCATCACTATGCTGCTTGTGGGATTCTTGAGAGATTTTGTCCAAAAAAGTAGCTTTCTCTTTCTACAAAGCAACACAGCTTCAAGTTTATATATCTCAATGTAAAGTAAAAACTTCAAAAGAACACTTATTACCTTATTTGACTGAGCACAGGTTCACTTCCAGATGCAGCAAACAATGGTACTGGAATCTGTAATCCTGGCCTGCGGTCAGAGGCGCTTCTCCTTACAAAAGGCTGTGGGATTGAAGCACTGAAAGAAACTTTCCTCTGTTGGTTCCCATAGTGCTCCAGTTGGGCACTGCTCCTCCGTACAAATGTTGCAAGGATAGCTTCAGGATGGCTCACAAGAGTCCCTGTTGTGAAACTGTTGGTCGGCATCACTGGTTTAGCTTCAAATAAAGAGGCTGTAACTGGACAAAATATTGAGCCTGCATTGCTGACAATCTTCAGGGAGGCAGGTTGCTGCTCATCCCCGGAGTCAATTTTGCTCTGTAATGCTTTGTGTAATCGAGATGGGGAAGCAGGTGGGGATGGGGTAGCTGAGAAAGGAGGTGGGGTTGCTTCTTTCCGGTGGGCTAGTGGACTGGACAGTTTCCGACGAACTGGTGGGCTTTGCTGTTTGCGTGTCATCGGAGGGCTGGATAGGTTTTGTTGGGTAGGTGGCGAAGGCACCTTCCTTTCTGCTGGAGGGCTTGGTACCTTGGAGTTAGAAGGCGGACTAGGCTGTCGAGAAGTAGTAGAGAAAGAGGCTTGCTTAAAGTGCCTGTGAAGTTGTGATGGGCTTGGGAGTCTTTTCTCATTGGGAGGTGATGCAGGTGGTGTTCTTGCTGGAGACACTCGTCTGATAAAACCTGTTGCATTCTCATTTTTCCTGAATGCATCAGGAGAGCTCCTTTTCTGAGTCAAAGCAAATGGTGTAGGACATTCTTTGCTGCCTACATTATCTCCATTATCTTCTGGTATTTCAGTAAGATTTTGTAGAGGTATTATTTTATGGGACTGCTTATGCAGATCTACAGTTTTTTCTTCCATTTCCTGATCCCTTCTGGATGCTAATAAGATCTCCTCATGGCAGTCAGGCATATGGGTAGAATTCAGCTCAAGGGAATGTTTCTTTGCTGTTGCATCCCCCTCAGTGTTTTTTGTTGCTTTGTTGGCACTGAGATTGGGACCACCGAGGTTCTTACTTGGTAACAAGTCAATGGAACATAGGGAAGCTTTCATTCGTGCAGAAATTTGAATACTTTTCTTATTGGTGCAATACTCATTCCTCTTGGCAGTGTTTGGGGTAATTCCCGAATCCTTGTTCTCTCTCTCTGTACCTTCTGAAGACACATTTGAATCAGATGAAGTGTCTATTAACATCTCAGGAGGTGGTGGAGGCAAGTTTTCCATGCCATCTTCATCTGAATCCTCATTTGCCTCACTTCCACTTGCTGGTATGGGTGAATCAGCAGAACCCAAACGACAGCGTGACAAACTGAAGTCTCTGCAATTTATTTCTCCTAATGGTGAAATCCTATGTTTGTGATTCAAAGGCACAAGCCCTCTAGGAAGTGGTAGATTAGGAGTAATGCTTGGAAGTCCAAATTTTCTGATACATTTTATTGGGCCCAGGGTTCTTAAACCTGAAGGCTTTGCAAGATTATCCGTGGGGCTGAAGGTTTCAATCAATTTCTTAACAGATTTACGAGGTGGAGCACAATCAACGCGATTCAGTTTCTGTGTCCCAGGGGGCTCATTTTCTTTTCTGGATGCGAGATCCACTGAGCATGGTGCTGTTGTGATATGCTTCCTACCTTTCCTTTCATCAGGTAGTTGGCAGATAGCATTTTGATCCTGTCTAAACAATGGGACTTTATCTTGATTGGGCAATATATTGAAGTTTTTAGCAAGAGATGCCTTTAGTTTATTTGTGGATGACCTATGAGTAACATGCTCAAAATCCTGCAAGTCAGATGGTTCTTTTCGGTTCAGGGATACCAATGCATCCTTTTCTCCATTAAGTGTGTAAAACATCTCCAACCTTTTGCTGAGCCCCTTCTGAGTTCTTTGAAGTTCCAGAAGAGTTGGGTCCTCACCATGACTTTTGAGAGATTCCTCAGATCTAGACCTTCTTTGTTTCACATGAGACTTCTGGCTTCTTGCTGCTGTTCTAGGACGCAGTGATCCTTTTCCATTGTCCTCTTCCACCCATTCCTTCTTTCCAGATTTAGTTGGGACAAATTTGATCTTTCCACTAATCGCATCTTTCATTTTGAGTATAATCTCCTCATTCTCTGGGCTATCTATCCTTTTGTTGGAAATCTTCTGTTTATAATCTGATGCTGCAGACAGAGATACGCTGTCACTTTCTTCTTCAGAGCAGCTATTGTCACTGTCTTCATTAGTGGAAGATGCATTCAGTGATGCACACTCTTTGAAACAATCATCATCATGAGTGGCGCCACAATGCACAGGGTGAAGAGAAGGAGTTTTGATGATGTTTTCATTATAGGGATTGGTGGCTGTATTTTCTAGTATTACTTCTGAAGAAGAAGGCATTAAATTCTTTGTATGAGCTGGTGGGTAAAAAATATCCTTAAATTGTTTTTCTAGTGCACAGACGTGGGACCTGCTTGTGTTAAATACCGAGCGGCATGGCCACTGTTTTTCTTCTGATGTCCTGCTCTGATTTAGAGATTGATGAACATGCAGACAAGAATCAAAATCTGCATGCATTCCGTGCTTATCAATGAAATTCAAGTCTTTGACTGATTCACTGTCTATACCTATTCCACTGTCTTCAGAATAAAGAGGCATATCCTCAGGCTGAGCATGAGTAGCCCCAACTGCTGATGCTTCAAGAAGCTTTATTATCCTGAGCAAACGTTCGTCAAAAGCATGTTTTGCTTTCAGTTTTTCTTCTAAGTTGTTACCAGCAGACTGTAAAAAGCTACAAGAATCCTGAAGGGCATAAGAGGTCAAGGAAGCCACAGTTCCATTTAGCACCTGCATTTTGTTGACTGTGTATTGTAGCAACTGCTGTAAGAGATCTGGTTTCTCTTTTGAGTTCCCTTTGCCCGCTGGCCAAGCCAGGTGCCCTCCCACTTCTTTGAGCAAATCTTCTCCGTCATTGGTAATTTCTTCCAAAAGATGATTGATTTCATCAAACCGAAATAGTAAAAAGCTCACCATTTGCTGCATTATTAGCTGCGTTTCAGTAGCCTGGTTGGCCATACACAAAATAACTTCGTATTTTGAAAGGTTGGGATTAAGATAGGCATATGCATTTTGATGAGCCTTAACAAGCAGATCTGGGAAATCCACTTTCTTCTCAACCACAGGTGGAGTAGATTTCTCTTTTGTTTTCAAATGACGACCTTGTTTTCCTTGCCTACTATTCTTTTGTTTTTTCCCTTTCTTCAGGTTTTGCTTTTCACTACTTTCATTTCTGTCTTCCAAGGTAGCACTATTTTTTTCTGATGTGCAAGAGTCCTGATTCTTTATCTTACTACCCTCTGCCTTTTGTTTATCAGACTCTATTAATTCAGTGATGGCTATCTCATTCTCAGATACTGTTCTTTCAACTTCCTTTTGTTCCTGGTCAAGCTCAGGTAGTGAAGGATCCTCAAATGAGGAACAGAAGTTAACATTTTTATCCTCATCTGATGAATTTCCAAGCAAGTTATCTTTAACTTGAGTCTCTTCCTGACAAAATTCTTCAGTATCGTAAGAGGAAGAACTTTTGATCAGCAGTGGAAGTGAGAAACCTTCCCTTTCCAAATCAGCTGGCAGGACACCATGTTTCACATGATGGTTAGCAATATCACTACGTGAAGGAGTGCAGCCCATTATGCTCCCACCTCCTAGCTTTCTTTACTCTTGAAATATGTCCAATTGATCAAGGAAGGAAATGAAAAGAATGAGACTTACAAGTTCAGCCGATGTCAGGATCTGATGTTTCTGAAGGTTTCATTGTGAAGAGTTTGAAGATTGTAGACTGCCTTGTTAGCTATTACACAGCTCCCTCTTCACCTTTCTTAGTGCATCTCTTGACAAAGAATTTATGACACATTCTTCTCCTTAATAATTTCCCCTTTAGATACAAACCCGTGGTGCAAAAGCAATTGCATTTCGAATGAGCTAGTGATTAGGAGTGCTTGTGTATCTTGCTTCTGCCTTGACAGATGCCAACCAGAAATAAGATGTTAAGCTCATTAGGCTAAATATCGCTCAACGAGTTTGTTGCATTTGTAACAGAGCTTTCTTGTTGTACATTGCAGTTTATAATTTTTTACAACACATTTCCCCAGTATGCTTAATTTCTTAAACTGTTGTCAGTGTTTGGAAAATCCAAAGAAAGAGGCTATAATAAATATTGTTTCAAAGGCAAAATGCCAATAGACAAATACCTCCAAGGACAAACGTGACATTGGATGGATAATACTGATCAGGAAGAAAGCACAATACACAGAGTCAGGTTAGGTGAGAGAATGAAAAGCCTATTAGGTCATCCCGACCAGAGTTTCTCAGCCTTTTCTGACCTGCAACGTCAAAACTTCTTGGCTTTCCTTCCGATTTATCCCATACATACAGCTGTTTTTGAGAACTTTCTTTGGGTACATTGAGAAATAACAACAAAAACCTGTTTTAGTCCCCTACACTCTTACCTTTTATCTGCTGACACCAAATGTTTACATAGAAAAAACAAGACTACTTGCAGCAGTCCTTGGGTGGCCTACAAATCGTTCTTGTTGCTCATGTTTCTCAGCATCACGTTTGCATTCAGTAATCTTCTCTATGTCAAAAGGCTACACGAACACAAGCAGACGCAGGCGATTAGCCTAATGAAAATGTCCTTTCAGTGTTCTTGAATGGGATCCAAACAATTTCACTTCTAGTACAAACACGAGAGGCAATCTGTGTTCCTACAGACCAGGTGAAGAATGCTTAAGAAAACATTTTCACAGGCATGACAGTTCTATCAGTTATTAGTTACATTTATACCCAACCTTTTTTTCAATGAGCTCAAGGCAACGTATACAAATCTCCTCTTTTCCCGTTATCTCCACAACAAAGCTGTGAAGAAGGAGAGGCTCTCATTGGCCTGTGGTTCACCTATTGAGTTTCATTCCTTGGTAGGGATTTGAACTCAGGTTTCCTGAGCCTAGTCCAACACTGTGACTGCTAAACAGCCTGGATGTAGTCTCGTATGATAATCCTCATTATTCATAGGAGTTATGCATATAATGTTTGAGACTTTCAGCTTATTTATAATTCTCATCCATGTAATTCACACAGAATTGCTCCAAGACTCACAAGAAAGATAGTACTGGTGCTGCTATTGCCTCCTTGACCTATTTGGGTCAGCTGAATCATGAGTGGAGAATGAACTCAGAAAAATACCCAAAAATGAATTAATGTGTGAGTTCAACTATCCCCAAGCAGAATGGATAAACGTACTGTATGTTGTAGTCATGTAAAATAATAAAATTATTGATGCTCTAAATTAGAATAGAATAGAATAAAACTTTATTACGGTCTGAGACCAGCCACAAATAAAACTTCAAAATATATAAATATACAAAGATTTACAAAAATATTGGGATAAAATGCAAATACGGGGTTCTAAGAACAACAGCATCAAAACATCTCCCCTAAAGCAATTCCAGAATTTCTGGCAAATCATGTTCTAACTACATGAGGCTCATCCCCTTTTAGGGTCCTTTTTCTAATGCCCATTGCAGCAGTGAAAAATTTGGCAACCCTATGTGTAAGAATGGGATTGGAGTCAGATAGAAGCATGTGCATAGATTGTTGCTCTGTACAGCCGAGGAATCGGCCAATCAGAGAGGAGACGAATTCTTCACATACATCCTTGTAAAATGTGCACCGCAACAGAACGTGTTCAGTTGTTTCTATCTGCTCCATTCCACATGGGCAAAGGCGCTCTACCCAGGGGATCTTTTTATACCGTCCCTCCTGCACTGCTGAAGGTAGCGCATTAAGCCGGGCCAGGGTAAATGCCCTTCTATGCCTGGGCTGCTCCAACTGGGCAAAATAAGGTGCTGCTGTGACCTTATATAGATAATCCTCCCTAAGGTAGAATTCTGGGGCACCACTTAAATCATTTTGTCTCTCAATATCCTCAATGCGCTGCTTGATTGTTTTCTTTGCCTGTTCTGTTCCCATAGTTAACAGAGTCAACCCAGAGAGACCCAAAGAGGCTATTTTTAGTTCAATTAACTGAACCCATTTTGACTTAAAGGTGTCTTGCAGGATCAGTGGTGCAAGACCAATAGGGAGATAAGACAGTCTGAGCCAGTACATGAGGATTGCAATCCATATCCTGGCTTCGATTTTAATTTGACCAGTTTCCAATCTTAGTTTTACATTGGCGACATCTCTGGGGACTCGTAATATTGCCCTCAGGAATTTTGACTGCACACATTCCAAGGTTGCAATATTTGGAAGGGGCCCAATTGGGAGCCATACAGTAGTTGGGCTACTGCTTTTGCTTGGAACAATTTAATGGCTGAGGGAATGTAATGCCCTCCCTTTGTTCTCATAAATTGTAATATTGCAGCAGAACTTCTCTGGGCATTTAATGCCACATAATCACCGTGTGCTTTTCTAGAGCCGTTAGATTGGAAAATGACACCTAGATATTTAAATTGGTGGATCTGATCAATTCTATGCTGATTTATCATCCATGTTCGTATTAATGGCCTTTTGGCAAAAGACATGATTTTTGTTTTTTGAAAATTATCAGGTCTTCCTGCTCACAATATATAGACAACCTTCGCAAAGCTCTTCTAAGCCCAATTGGGGTCCTAAATTGAGGTTGGATGAATGCTAAGACTAATTCTGATCTGTTTTGCATTTTTCCAGTATTAAGTTGATTGTATTTCACTTTCAGTTTCTGTTTTTTTAAAATGAATTAAAATCTATACATAAGTTTGTCTATATTTCTACAAATACTCATTTTTATATAATCTTTTCTAAAAATGCTATTTTCTCCAACAGTTTCATGTTCAGGTTCTGTATTAGAGGTCTCTAAAGGTAGCCAAAGTAATGCTAATTTTTATGACGAGATTAGAAGTATGTATGTGAATGAGCCAAGAAATTACATAGTGGATAGCTTTCCATCTGTTCTTGAAACATTTGTGCTATAAAACATAAAGTTTGATTGTTTACCTTTGGCACAGGCACATATTGTGGTTTTAAAAAAGGCAATGCTAGATTTTTCAGCATTAACTAGGAACCTTGGTTTTATCTATCAGTTATTCTGTTGTGAGAGGATTGCAAAATAATGGAAAATATCAATGCTAAATTTGATATACAGTTTGCAAGGATCCCAAATATGTAGGTTCATAGTTAACAGAGCTACAGCAATATGAATCATCTTCTATTTTAAAAGCAGCATATTTAGCACTGAAGACATTGCTGCATTCTGTTTATCGCAGAGACAAAGAAAATGAGTCTGATAATTAAGGGCTATACACCCGAGGAGCACTGTTTTCCTTTACCCACAAAATCTACATTGATATTGATTTTCTGCTTTACTTTTAAGCGAAGCTAGCTCTTGTACGTGAGCTTGCAGCCGCTAGGTTATTTTGGATCCATTTGGTGCAAGACTGATGAAAGTGAGGTGCTAAATTAATTGGTTGGATGACCCGAACCAATCTCAAAATGTGTACTTGTACACACTGGGAAATTTTGTCACACTGAAGCCTCTGAGTATACCTTATTTGATTCTGTCTGGGTAATGTGTATTGCTGACCACTACTGACCTGGAGGAGGAGAAAGTTATAAAATATACTGCTTTCAGCGCACTTTACAACTTTTTTCAAAATTGACTAGCCTTCTAATACTCTTCATCTAAGAGCTTCTTAGAGACATTATCGTATCTACTATTATGGGCACGAATCTCATAGAAGAAAGAAAGTAGCTCTCATAGTCAACAAAAGAGTGGGAAAAACTGTACTGGGACACAATCTCAAAAATGATAGAATGATTTCAGCATGAATCCAAGGCAGACCTTTCAACATCACAGTAATCCAAGTTTATGCACCAACCACTGATGCTGAAGAGGCTTAAATTGGCCAGTGGAACCTCTACTTACGAACGTCCCTGCCTACAAACAATCCAACTTACGAACACCTCCATTCGCAAAATTTTGCTTCTACTTGCGAACCGAGCTTCAATGTACGAACGGAAAAAAACCATGGGGGAGGCGGGGAAAGCACACAATTTGAACTTTCAGTTGACCGTTGGCCAAAGCACACAATTTGAACTTTCAGTTGACCGTTGGCCAGCGAAGAGGCTGTTTGTCTGCTACCTCACTCATCCAGGCGGTTAGAGAGTGGATAGGGAGAGAGTCTTCAGACTGCCTGGTACAGTAGTGCCTGGTACTGCCTGATACTGTACTGTACGGACCGTATTTTTTTCCTTTTTTATTTTTTTATTTTTGACTTTTTTTTAAACAGAGAGACTGTTCTGGGTGAGTACATACACTGTACAGTATTTACTGTACTGTACAGGGTTTTTTTGCAGCTTGGTAGGGCTAGGTGGGGGGGGTTGTTTCTGTGTCCTGGTGGGTCTTGCAGTGTGGATTTAAAATGTGAAAATTAGACTGTAATTTTAAAATGTAAATTTATTTATTTTTGCATTCTGTGGCTTCTAGGATTTGTGTACTGTGACCTCTCTGTTGTTTTAAAATGTGTGGGTTTAAAATGTCACTCCAATGTCTTTTTTTCTTTGGGGATCTGTTTGCTGTAATAATGGTTGCTGGTTATTGATGCAAGCAGGTTGTAAAATGCAGTTTAGACTGCACATGTGTTACATGCTGGGCCAAGGAATGTCAACTCTCCCATCAGCTCTAGCCACTATAGTCAACGCTACAGAAGACTAGGAACTACGGTGTGCCACAGCCACTATAATCCACAGAAAGACTACACTGAACATGCAGCAATATTATCTGGAAAGCAGAAAAAATTCTGGTCCTGAAGAAAATGAACCCATAACTTAATTACTTTGCAAGTTTCAATAGACAGGCCTCATCTTGTTTTAGCATTCCATGGTGAACTGTAATTAATGAAATAACAGTGAATGTTGTAGAGCATGTGAACCAACCCTAGTTCTTACAAAACTGCATTCTCAAAAGTCAAAGCTCTTTCCAAACCACTTCAGATGCAGCAAGTTATACAAGTATTCAGCCTGCTCCTGCCTTTCTTCTACTTTCTGACAGCTAATTTCTTTTTTTAAACAAAAACTGGTTGGGCAGGTAACTTTCAAACCCAGCCCATACACTCAAGACTTGTTCTCACTGATGTGGTAAACCTATTTACTTCTATACTGAGCCACTGAAGATTGTAGGTGGAGGCTCACATTACAGATTTTGTAATATTTTTTGTAATATGGATTCCGAAGAGGCAGATGGATTCCGAAGAGGCAGAGGAACTCGGTCAAAGAGTTCAGAATGACACACTCAAGAATTGCCAGCATTATGAAAACCAGAAGTCAAAGAAAAAATATTTTCGTCTGACATGATACAATCCAGATTCTAGAATTAAATTGTCTAGTTCATCTGTGCTAGGCATTACACAGGATGAGGGCAAACAAACTGAAATTCAATCTAGGGAAGATAGAGGTGCGCCTGGTCAACTAAAAGGCAGATAAGTGAATAGAGAGTCAATCTGTGCCGGATGGGTTTCTACTCCCCCTAAAAACTCATCTCTGCAACTTGGATGGATTTATCTTCAAGCCTGGATACCTGGACTGCAAGGAGAACAAACCTATCCACTCTAAAGGAAATCAACCCTGAGTGCTCACTGGAAGGTCAGATCCTGAAGCTGAGGCTCCAATACGTTGGCCATTTCATGAAAAGACTCTCTGGAAAAGACCCTGATGTTAGGAAAGTGTGAAGGCAAGAGAAGGGGACGTCAGAGGATGAGATGGTTGGACAGTGTCATCGAAGCTACCAGAATGAATTTGACCCAACTCCAGGAGGCAGTGGAAGACAGGAGGGCCTGGCGTGCTCTGGTCCATGGGGTCATGAAGAGACATGACTTAACAACTAAACAAGTCACAAGCAAGTAGGGTTTTTGTGTGTGCATGTATGTACAGACACACACAAAATACTGTGTTTCCCTGAGAAGAAGACAGGGTCTTATATTAATTTTGCTCTGAAAAACACATTAGGGTGCATTTTCAGGGGAGTTTCATTTTTTTCTTCATGTATAACAATCTACATTTATTCAAATACAGTCCTGTCATCTTCTTCTGGTTGCTGCACCAATGGTGCAGGGTAGGGGTTTCAATTAAGTGGGGCTTATTTTGGGGTAGGGCTTATATTACATGCATCCCGAAAAATAATATTAGGGTTTATTTTCAGGTTAGGTCTTATTTTCGGGGAAACGGTATACAGTACTGTATGTATGTGTGTGTGTGTGTGTGTACAGAAATTAAATTCGGTTAAGTTCTACTGGCGTTTCCTAGGTGCAGACTATGTATGTATGTATGTATGTATGTATGTATGCATGCATGCATGCATGCATGCATGTTGTGCATAATTATCTTCAGCTATCTTTCCTCAATGCAGAGAATCCGGTGCTCCGGCGCTTCCTGCACCGGTCTTCCGGCCTGCAGAGGGGTTTCAGAGACAGACAAGCGGGGCATTCTCCATCACCGCTAAGTAACCCCCAACCATCCAATGGTCAGACAAAGCAGGTTGATGCCCCTGACGGGCCGCGCATGCTTCCCCCCCCCCTTTCCTCCCTATTTTACTTAGTAAAAGCACGGAAATAGGAAGGCTGGCGGGGAAAACGATGAAGAACAGCTTATTGGACGCAAGCGCAGCTCCTGGCGCCGTTTCCTAGGTGCAGACTAGCGGCGCGGCGCGTGAGGCGGCCGCTGCCATTCGACCCGGTCCCCGAGTATGCAAAAACGTCTCGACTAAGGGGCGGGACTAATCTTGACGATTGGCTGAGAGACTAACAGTGGCTGGCGGGCGGGCGGGGGGAGATGGTTGAAGGGGCGGAGTTCCGCAGCGGCCGCGCTTCTAGCTTGGATCCCGGCTGTAAGCTGATAGACGGAGGTGTTTGGGGGCGGGGCGTGGAAGACGAGCTAGGCAGCCAGCCTGGAAGCCGCTCTCCGACAGCGCCTCTGACGGTTGGGGGTGGCCCTTGGAGGGGCGGGGGAGAGCGAGCGTCTTCCATCCTCGTGTCAGGCAGCCTCAGCTGGCGGAGAGGGCAGGTAACGGCTCCAGCGCGCGGCCGGGTAGGGGGTGGGCGGGCCGGCGAGCGGGGTCGAGGGGCTGTGGCTAGCGCCCGGTCTCTCCTCCCCTGACAGCTCGGAAGGAAAGGGGGAAATGTGGGGTGGCCGATCTCCCGAGCGACGGGGTGGTGTGACACTGGGTGCGCGCGGGTGGGTGGGTGGATGATGATGATGACGACGACCTGTGGGGAGGGGTGAGGAAGGCGATATGAGCCCACCTGTGTGATGTGAAGAGAAGGGTGGTGGGATGTGATGCGCGGGGGAAGTCAAAAGTGGGAGGGGGCGAGTCTGGCAGAACAAGCCCACGTGGAAGGACGGGCAGGCGTTCTCGGTGGCTCCGTGACGGGTCTTTCCGTGGGGAAGAGCTGCCAATCCCGCCAACTGTCAAAGGTGACTTTTATGCACTTTTCTGGCCCTGGAGGGCTGCAGATGACAAATCAAGGGGAAGTACGTGTGGATGCCGCTGGAGTGCGCAAAGAATGCGATCTGGAAGGAGAGGGAGGGAGAAAGAGACTGGTTTGTGGTTGCGGAATGGAATCGGGATGCCCCTTTTGGAGGGGGGGAGTCTCTTGACTTCGCAAACGCATCGCTGTACAGAAAATAAGTCACGGTGGCACTTGGTGCGTGTTATGTTCTAGGAGCGGTTTCTTAAGTGAGTGCTGCCTTAAGTCTGTTTTACAAAAAAATAAAAATCAAATAAAAATAAAACAAAATTGTTGTGGCACCTTTAAGATTAACCCATTCCCCAGTCTGTGCCTTTTTGTCGCATAGTCTGCTGCATCTGCGTGAGTGTTCACCTTCAGGTTCCTGTGTTTTCAAACCTCTCTTTTGCAAGCAATTAGTACTTTTAATACAGTATTAATTTAGACTTAATGGTAGCTTTTTAGGTTAGGAGTAAAGCCTTAGGCCAGACTCCCCACTCGTGTTCTGCTTTACTTTTTTCCAGGGCTATATAGATGTTGTTAACCTTTTAATTTAGGGCTTATATAAGTGTTCTTAAAGTGCCCCTTTACAAAGTATCTTAGTAAAACCACAAAACTGAAAAGTGTGACTTTGGAGTTTTCTCTCCATATTAGCTAATTAAGAAGTGGGATCTACTTTGAATTGGTGGGAGAACTGCAGTTTCTTTAAAACTCCAATAAGGTAGCAAGAATAGCATTCAATAGAAGCAATTATGACAGTAATTGAGGCTGAAGTAGAATTTCAATCATGTACCATCCAGAAATTCATAATATGCATGTAAGTACTTGTCCATTCTTGAGGACAAGCCACTAAGTTTCTCATGTGGACTAATCTGCTTCTTAACTCACAGTTCTTGCTTGACTGTAATTTTCAGACAACACTCGTCAGAGCCTTGAAAAATTACTTTTTTGGAATACACCACCCAGAAGTGACAGTTGCAGTCGAAAACAACCCCCAAAACACTAGTTCTAGTATTTCTAAATGTTCTTAGATATTGTAAGATTAGTTTACTCTCTGTGTTTTTTCTCTAGCATAATTTCTGTCTAAATATAATGTACTTGTTAATAGGACAGGAAGAGGTCCTGAAGTTGTCAGGTGAAAGCTGATTAATGTTTTCCATGTCAAATTAGATCTGATTTTACATATTAATCTGTGCTACTCACAGCCCTCTCTGGATTGCAAGCAGTTGTCTCCTCATATTTACCTGATACAGTGCTACTTATAGTACAAGTGTAAATATAAATGCTATTTAGTTCTGAAAGTAAATCAGGTTGGACAGATGTATCAGACTCCTGAAATTGTATCTTCTGAAACTTTGGCACTGAAAAGTTGGCCTTCATGCTGGTGTACTGTGTATGTTAGCCCAATAGCCTTCTCATATATTCTGCAGCCTAAAATATATACAGTAACTGTTAACACCCTTATAAGCTATTAACTTTATGTGGCCAATACTGACTTTTCAGTTAGGTCCTGCTACCATTAGGCAACACCCTTGGACTGTGTTTATGAGGGGCAGCAGGAGAACCACATTATTCCTGGTGAATCCTTGATCATTCCTTTCCGTTGGGGAGGCAAAGTTGTGTATACTGTACCGCCTGTCCCACACCCTCTGGAGTAGTCTTGTGTGCTCAGCTGAGGTAGAAAACACTGTTCTGTTGCTACTGCTGAAGTAAGACTTGGTCATTTGCAGGATCTCGTAACTTGCCTCAAACAGCAAAATGTCTTAAGCTATCTCTTATCTAGTGTTAGCAGGTAGTGGAGACTGAAATTACAATGATTAATGATATCTAGGCAATTTAATCTGTATTTATTTATTTATTTGATTGATTGATTGATTGATTGATTGATTTGATTTGATTTGATTTGATTTGATTTGATTTTTATACTGCCCCATTAGTTGGAAGCACTACTCCGGGTGGTTTGCAGCAGAATAATGAAACAGAACTAACAATGCAAATAAAAATCTGTAACAGCCACTCAAGCCACATTGCTAAACCATCCAGGGAGTGCTGGTTGTGACCCTGCTCTTATGTGGGTTCTCTTGATATAGCATACTTCCAGTTGAGAACTGTGAGAGCCAGAACTCATTTTAAAAAGTGGTAGAAGGGAAGCAGCTGGAGAAGACTTATTGCGTGAAAAGGTAAATATGGATTTAGAACATCTCAAAGTGAAGTTGTTGTGCAATTAAAAAGCAACAACCAGTGCTTTTGGCACAAATATCAAATTTTAGTTTGGCCATTGTCTTGCTATCAATAGTTACCCAAGCTATGGCCAGCTACTCATACTGACTTGCATATTTATAATTTAAACTAATTTCATATGTATACATATCTCGTTTATAACTAAGGAGCCTCCCCCCCAAAATATAAAATTGTGGGATGGCTAAAGTGTTTGAGATTGAGAGTAGAAAGTGTGTTGTACCATAGTCTGTACTTGGAGAAACATTATTCCTCCATAATTATGTAGGCCTTTCCTCTCTATTCAGTTGGTCACTAATAAATTCATCTGTGACTTCTGGTATGGCAGCTAGAAATAAGTCTTCACATGAGGTAGTTATGTCTGCAGTGTGTATGGGGCTTTTATTTGTCGGACAAGCCTAGCTCAAAGGGTACAGTCATAGGGTGTGGAAAGGGAGAACAGAGTGATCTGTCTTGCCCCTTCCTGTCATAATAAACGGGTTACACATTCAGAAAATGCATGAGGTAACAATTTTCCGTGAAGTATTTCAATCAGTTCTCAGCAGATCTCCTTAACTAGAGAGTAGGGAATGTAAATCTTCAGTTTTTGGACAGCAATCCTACTTAGTCCTAGTTAACAGGAGAATGAAGGAGCTGAAATCCAACAAGATCTGCAAGATTTCAGGTTTCCATCCCTTGTAAATAGGAGCCTCATGGGGCACTGGTTAAACTGCGGTACTACAGTCAAGACTCTGCTCACAACCTGAGAGTTTGGTTATGGGCTTATGTAGCTGGTTCAAGGTTGATTTATTTTCCATCCTTCCAAAGTTGGTAAATTAAGTACCCAGCTTGCTGGGGAGGGGGACAGTGTGTAGCCTCATAACTGTAAACCACCCAGAGAGAGCTTTAAGGACTACGGGGCAGTATATAAGCAGCACAGTTTGCTTTTCTTTGTAGCAATTCATATATTTAGGTGAAAGGTGCTAAGGAAATAGAACAATAATTGCAAAACATTTCATTATCTGGGGAGGCAACAAGAGATCTAGTCTAATCTCAGAGACCGCAGAATTGGAACCTTATAGATCATCAAGTCCAGCCGTTGTCAAGGAGGCTGTCTCCCCTGAGATGTGTTGGACTGCCTTTGTCAATGCTGTTTGGGA